TTCCTCTTGTGAACACATGTTGAGTGTCCTTTATGACTGCATTATTCTTTAAATGTCTTTCAGTAGCATACAGTATAAGCTTCATAATTTTCCAGGACCTGAGTTTAGACTAACAGGTCTGTAGTTCCCTGTATCTTTTCTCACACCCTTCTTACAGCCTGGAATAGCAGTGGCTAGGTTCCAGTCAGCAGGGACCTCCCCAGACACCAAGACCCTTGTTAGATAATTGAGAGGAGTCCTGCTGCTAGCATCCTTCAGTACTCCTTCAGTTAGCTAGAAAAATTATTGAAAAAAGCAAGTAAGAACTCAGCCAGTTTTTCTCCCTATCTTACATAAAGTGTGTGGCACAAATAAAGCTACTTCAGATCTTTCCACCTAGCAAATGAAGAAATACATTTTAGCAAGGCAAGGTTGATGCCTTTCTCATTTTAGATAGGTAGGAGAATCTAAACCACTATCACTTTGACCTGTTTCTAGAAAGCTTATTGTTTTAGACAAAGACTGTCTCATACAGACTAACAAAGATGTAGTTCAAATTGGATTGCTTTCAAATGAAATTGAAAAAAGAAGATATGCTCAACAGTTCAGGAACATTCAATCCTTGGAACTGGAACTACTCAGAAAGAAAATTCCAGAACAGATATCAGGGTCTCAGAATCAGCTTTTTGTTTTATAGGTATGCACTCATCTGGCCAGAGCAGTCAGTTCTGCTGCCAAGAGTTAACTGTCCAGCTTTTCCAGAAATACAATTTCCTCTCAGAAATGTACTTCAGAGACTGAATGAAGTAGGGGCATAGGGGATGAACTATTTTTTTTTTTTTTATCCATAGCAAAAAACCTGCAGAATAATGTAATTTGAAAGGGCAAAGACTACTGCAAGAAGACTCAGAGATAACTCGAGAATGATAAAGGGGAAAAATACAAAATATGAACTGTATGGATGAAATAATGAACCCTGACAATAACCCAGTTGTTTAATACTGTCTTAACTATTTTTTCTAAAATGCATTAAAAATTCCAGGCTACACTTGTGTTGACGGATCATGCATTTCTTTAAATGACAGCTCCTTCCTACCTGTTGCCTTCTTTCCTTTAATCCTCTCCTTTTAAACATTACTTCAGTAAGATTTTATTTTTTTACCATGGATACTCTGACTTCACAGCTTCTCTTCACATAGTTGATTTTTTTTTCCCTACTGCAGAAAATGTGGCTGGTGCCTGGATGAATGAACAGGAATATCAGGCTTGTTTTGACATACACTACAAATCTGGCATCACACAAAGTATTTCTTTGGAAGAAAAGACAGTGAACTGAGTAAAAAGAACCCATCCTGCTTAAGAAATAATGAAAACTTAAGCATGGAGGTATCCCAGTTCTGTGTAAAAACTGAAGATTTATTTCTAATTATTCCGAAAATTTATGTAAGCTGTCTCAAAAAATTTATGTAAGCTGTTTTCTGGGAGATACTTAAAAGCATGAAAGCATGAGAGACAACAGAAGGGAGGAAGCCATAGAAAACTGTACTTTAGACTACAGTAAAAGTTTTATACCCTAACTGAGAAAAATGATATCATATTGTGATAACCAACTTAATGAATCAAGCATGAAGAAATTGGCTATCAGTACAGCCTATGGAAAAAGCCCATCTCTTACTGTGTTCTTGAGAGAGAGGAGAAAGGGCAAAACTAATGCAAATAAATCACAGACAGCTCAATGGTTTTGGCTGAACCACAACAGCTGAATTGCAGACAGCAGTCTTTGTGCTAATGCTACTTTTTTGACATCTCCTAGGTCTCAGGAGCTTTGTCTCAAGATACTTATACTGCGCCACTGTTCTGTCTTACTGTCCAGTAACAGAAACTCTGGTACCTTGAAATGGTATGACAGATGAGATCTCATCTCTAGTAATTTGGATTATTTCTGTCACAAAGCCAGTTTTAGCTCCAAGTTAATTCCCTCCTTTACCATTTTTCTCTAACCCTTTTCCTCACAAGAAAGTGTAAAGCCCATGTTGCAGGTGACTGGAATGCAATTGGATGCTATAAAACCCAAAATGTCAGTGCCTGAGTTGTAAGTTTGCTGTCATTCTATTTTCCTTGTCTTTTATTTGAAGTTGTAAAAATACAGCTTTGGAGCATTTTGGTCCCATTGGGCTAGTTTCAGTTAATTTCAATTTAACTAAAGACTGTGTTTTAAGAAAAGCCAATATTCTCTCACTTTGCTCGTTTAATGAATATCCAACTTTTATTTGTACTTTTCATTGAGCAAGTAATTATGAGTCTAATGTATAATCCTTCTACAAATAATAAAACTCAGAGAGGAGCATGGAAATACCATTTCAGAATGCAGCCCTGACTGAAGATTGCACCATGTGTGATGACAAAGAAGAAACATTAGAGAGTTTATAAAATTTGTAAACATTAGGGCATAGCACTGTGTAGAAAACCAAGTACACATTTTGCAGACATCGCAGTGTGCCCAAGCAAAGTCTACAAATACAACCTTTTTTAAACACTACAAATAACTACATTTCCAGAATTGACATGATGAGATGTGAAACATAGGGGATTACTCAGCTACTATCACTCAAGTTTGATATGAATCTAAATTTTCAGCAGGTTCCAGTTGAAACACACTGGATTAGCCTGGGTCCATCCAACCACAAAGCCTTTATAGAACTGAATCTCTGCTGAGCAAAGATTTGGTCTTGCAGTCAGATCAAAACACAACAGTGCAAGTTTGGTTTGTGAAAGACAACAAGTAATTCATTTTAAAAGCTCCTGTTCAGTCTTTTATTTAAACCATTGACTGCACAGAAAATGGGACTAATAAGTATTGGTTTCCTGTAATAATTGGTTCATTGAATCTTTTCTGAATCTTGGGCATTCATAATGCCACTCTATTATATGGATATTCTGGTATTTAACATGAATTGATATCAAGCCACAGTTCTTTCCTTTGGGAAGGCTGGAACATTGCCCTCCTCCCTTGGGTTTTTTTTTTTGTTTGTTTGTTTGGCTTTTTTTTGGTTTTTTTTTTTTTTTTGTTTGTTTTGTTTGTTTGTTTTGATTTGTTTTTGGGTTTTGGGGTTATTTTTCTATTTTTTTTATTTTTATTATTTTGCTAAAATATAGGTTTGAAAGAAGTAGGAAATGAGTAAGGGAGCAACCTGCACACATGAAGTATGGTCCCATAAGCCTTATTTTCACAGGGACAGGCTGAAAAATTCATCATCTATAAACAGACAAAAATTGAAATCCGTGCACAGAAAGGAAAAGGTGTCTGGAAGATAAAGGTGCCTTTTTTTCTTAGGGTACAACTGCACACACTCAATACTAGCCCAGAATATAAGATTAATGCTGATTCCATAAAACCATACATCTTCTAATGAAAACATAGAAATATCTTTAGCCAAGGCAGAAGCCCAGTATACTAAGGTAGTCTCTGAGTGTGATTTATTTTCCCTTAAAAAAAAATCTCTAAAGCATTGAGCTGAATATTTTGTTTCTTTACACCAGAGACTTACTACAGCAAGCAATATATGAAGAAAATTTATTCATAGGGTTTGTAGTGACTGTAATTGGCTGCCAAGTGGATTGGAGGTATTTTACAAAATAATTGATGAAAGGAGCAGAAGAAAGATCCTCAGTTGGACCTTTCCTCTCAAACCAATGGATAGCAGAGCTAGAACCTAACACAGCATATCCGTCATGGCACTCTTCAAAAAGAAATTTTTCAAATAAGGTTAAGAAATAACCTTATTTGAAAAATAAGGTTAAAAATTGAAATGTATCCTTTTGCATACACCTCACAAAACATTGACAAAAGGACATATGTGGTAAAGAGCAATATAGCACAGATGACTTACATTTAAAAATCTTCCTGTGTGCTTTCTGAGGGAGTAGAAAAGATGAAGTCATCCCCTTGGAGTAATTTATTAGTATAATGTCACATAAATTAGCCCATAACCTCAGGATATTTCCTATAATTTAAGTTTCTTTTGAACAATTCCTACACCACTAGCAAGAAATCTTCCTTCTCTCCTCAGTTACTACTAACTCAGAAATAAAGAACTGAATGTTTTTTAGACTCAATATTGAAAAGCAAGAAGATCATGGCTTGACCTTAGGCAACATATATGAATAAGAGGAATGTGGTTAACACTAGAGTTCTTTCCTTGTGTTCCTTCTTCCTTTTATAACCATACACATCATCACACCTCAGCTACCTAATGCACTGTCAGCAGCACACAGAGCAATCTTTTTCGTTTGGAGTAATTTTGATCTTTTAGCATGGTGACAAAGTATCATGACATTGTGATTTGCCAGTGGTGGGATAAAACATGTGACAATGTATCAAGAGCTAGTTATTCACTATTCCTCATGGATTTAGGGTGATAATTTCCAAAGCTACTGAATTTTTCCACCGCATTTTGAAAGAAAGTCAACTAGGAGTTGTCAATTTTGGTTAGATGCGGTGTTAACCTTTGTATCTGCAAATCTAAGAGAAAACGTGAAATTCAGATGATAAAAAATTATGAAGCAAGCATAAGGTCTGCTCAAATACTTGCTTAATCTTCCATGTTCCTTACATTTCTACTCTATATAGACAGTATAGACAGGGGTGTGGCTAGAGTAACTGCTCCTTTTCATAAAGCCTGTTCAAAACTTTTCAATCCTAAATATTTAGAAAATATCACAAGTAGCAAAACCAAGTTTGTCATTGAATGGCTTTGTAAGTCTGTGTAGAACCAGGATTCACTTAGAGACCTCTGAAACAGCATGAACTATGGACATCATACCACACAGTTGGCATGCTTATTCTTCCCATGTAAAGGACCATTAGCTTGTTTTCCCAGAGATAGAATATGCATCACCAGGCTCATGAATTTATTGTCAAGATCAAGCAACAAAGATTTATATAGAAACCAGTTGTTATTAAACGTTAGGTTATAGGTACAGATACGCTGGAAGAGAAAAAAAGAGAAAAATATATGTACCTGTGGGGTAGTGTTCATTCACTGGCCAGCTGTCAACCTGCAGTGTTGCATTGCCACCATTCCTGGTAAAGCGTACTACATGGTATTTGCCATCATTTACAGGCGTGCTTTCCTCTTTAATAGAGATGTCCACTGTGCCAATATTGAAGACTACACCAATCTTGCCTTGCTCCTGAAAAAAGAAAAGAAATGTTTTAAAATTGCTGCCACTTAGGAGAATGTTCTTGGCATCTAAGTCTCTAGTGGGTAGTTGTGCCGGTAGATGGCACTGGAGAATACACAGGAGTGTCATTTTGAGCTTCGTCAGGAGCTCATTGGTTCTGCTTCAATGCAAACACTTTCTTTCACACTGTTCTTTACAGCATTCACCTGAAGACAGTGACTCATTTGTTCCCATAAAACATCACACAAGACAGGTGAGAAAACCAGGCAACAGAAATCAGGAGATGTGGATAAAGAGTTATTTGAGCAACATCTCTACTGATTATTACTAGTCACTTGTTATATAAAATGCAGCCACAGACAGGCAGCTATCCCAACACCTGTTTTGTTCTGTTATTCTTCTTGGGATGCAAACAGTCCTCACTCCCAAAAAAATAATTGTGGGATCCAGAAGGAAGAATGCAGTTAGAAGCTCAATGAAACTCGAAGGGAGCAGAAGTGTCATTAGCTGACTTTGAAATCCAGAGGGAAGCCACCTAAGAGACAGGAGCTGCCCATCTTATTTTTCTCCATCACACACCAAGCAGTGCCTTACCAATAAAGCAGTGTTTTCCCAAAACTTTGCACCAGTCAGTGACTGAAAGGGAAGAGCAGGCAAAACCTGTTTTGGCAGCCACAACACTTCCTTCTGCACCCTCAGATGATTCCAACTAATGACCTCATTAATGACTTTAGGTTGCAAAATACACACCCAGAGCACACTCAGATTAGATATATGCATTTAATACTACTGATTTAAACAGCAACAGAAATTGTCATTGCTGTACAATTAAGAGGAATGCATCTTCAAACACTCAGTAAGGAGAGGCACAGTATGCTGGTGAATTATGAAGGCATATTAAGTGCACTGTACATATACAAAACTGGTACAGACAGGCAAAATTAAAACGTACCCTATAGGAAGTCAATACATGTATTAGCTATCCATACTATAAAATTGAAACAAAACCAGAGAGTAGATGGCCATCTTCTATGCACATATATCTTCCTTGAAAAAAACCTGAAGCATAATAAAGGGCCACAGGGCAATTCTGGTCCATTTACTACCTTACATATCTGCTTAGAGGGCAAAGGACCCCATTCTTCAGGGCTGTTACTCTACTTTCTACATTCACATTAGCAAATCTCAGCAATAAGAAAGAAACTTCTCCTCTTGTACTTGATGGCCACCTTGGATTCCTCTCCTGGATTTATTCCTGTCTCCTGGTATCAAAACAAGTCTTTTTCTGAAAGTTTCACCATGTTTCAGTTTCTCAGAGAGGTCTTTCTGATTCCTGCTTAACCTTACATTTCAAAGCTTACTCATACCAAAGCACTCATCACAAATTCCTTGTATCTTCAATACCCTTCTCTTTCTTTTTTACATTTTCTTCCTAACACGAAGTTTGCTGTTGTCAGACTAAAACATTTTTTTAGGAAAGGAAAGAAAACAGTCCTGTAGCTGAAGAGGTCATGAACAGTGGTTCAACTACTTGAAGCTTAGCACTGAAATAGTAAGCATTTTGGCTTTTCTCTCATTAAAACAGTAAATTTTAGACTGTGCTAAATGTATGCTGGATAGAAAGTTTAATGTACATTCATAGTGTTATTCTGTGAAGAGACTTTTCTTCAAGATATCAATATCATCCTTTTGTTTTCACTGGACTGTGAGGTAAGTGGATTGCTGCTCCCAGCAGAGGCATAAAATCAGATGCCATTTGGAAACAACCAATGTTTCTTCGCTTATGCTAGCCCAAAAATAAGTGAAGTTTCAGTTAACAAAGATTTATTTCAGATAAAAGCATTGCTGGCACAGCTCTACCACTTCTTTGACATATGAAGTAAGTGATCTCCCAAAGCTGTTTTAGTGAATGTTTTGCTGGCAATTATATAATTATCTTTACCTGCATAGCAATTACCAAAGAACTTGTGACTAGTTTTCCCTCAAAGACTCAAATAATATATAGTGACCGGGTAATCTGGCTCCTGATATTGTGGTTTTGCAAGATATTGCCTTACAGTCAGCCTCCTGGATGACTTTTCATATTGCTTTTTAATTGCCATCAATACACAAAGCTTCTTTGGCAAACTGTGGCTGCTCTAAGAAGAGGCCACCTTGGTGAAGGTGTAGCATGAGCAGGTAAGATGAAGACTTGCACCTTTTCTAATGGAATAGATTAGAACCACCACCACAGAAGAGGAAGGGATTAAAAGGTATTCAGCAGAGAGAAAACTGCATACCTTCAAGCCTACAGGCTTAATGAGGCAACGGTAAAAACTTGCAGGTGGGGAAAAGGATGGTGGGAAGTTCAATTAATCTCTGCAGAATGAGAAAATGTTTCTGATTTCTCTTCAGAGGAAAGGGAGATAGCACCTTTCACCATTTTCTCTTCCCAGGGCTTGAAGGAAAAGACCTATTTAATGAGCTAGTGATAAGAGGGCAAACTGGGAAAGAGATAAGATTCTGGAAGCAGAGGATTGTAAAACGCCAGTGGCCTTTAGTCTGATGGAGAGAAGAGGGAAATGAGCAAACTGGTGCCTTCCCCATCCCAAGAGGCACCCTCTCCCACAGCCAGAGAAGACAGCCCTTCTAAAAGCAATGTAACAATTTGTTGCAATGATGAAGTGCAAAAATTTGTCTAAAAGAAAATCATGGTTCTTGTGGACAGTCTATTCCAGCTCCCTTCAGATCACTCCTGGACAGAGCTCCCTGTGACTCTTTAACTCGACTTTTGCAGAATCACAACTTCTAAGACTCTTATTTGGACTGAGTAGGAACTTGTCATGAAAATGGTTTTGTTCCAATTACCAGGATAAAACACAACACAATATGTCAAAGGTAGTACTGAAGCCAAACTGCACACACAGACCCCAAGACACAGTTTATTTATGATATTTTAAATCTCCAGGGCACCAGACACTATGAAAAAATTAGCAATTAGTTTATGCATTCCTGGCAGAAGAAAAAAAAAATAAAGCAAAGGAAAACACAGAGAAAATCCTACAGCAAAGAACAGTGACCATGGACACAAGGGGCAAATCCACAATTTATTTTCAACATCTCTTCAATTCCAGTTTCTTGCACTACAATACTTCATTGAAAACAGCTTTTACCAAGACCTACCTGCCTTCTAAATCTGAAAGACAAGCTTTACCATTAGGGTTTAACACTTCATGACGGACATATCCTTTCGTTCCTCTCCCCACACATTCAGCAGGTGGATTTTCTTTCCACATAACCAAACAAAGGTATTAACTAGGCCAGTAAATATGTGACAAAGAAAGGTTTATATTTAAGCCACTATCTATAACATTTATTTTGTAGCTATAAGAAAAAAAACATCATAACTATGCAGCAAGGGAAAAGGTGAATACAGAGCCACACAGAGCAAACAAGTTAGGTGGCCCAAAAGGCTTCAAGAGAATTTTGACAGACAGTACAATTTTTTTCCTCTCTACATTGGTATTCACTGGGTGCCCCAAAAAATTTCCATGAAAAGGCAACCATTAATTAATGTCTTTGAAACCTCCAAGTGACATCAATTGCTGGCACTATGTCTTGGAAAACTGAGAACCATTTTATTTATAAATAATGAAGTGAACTCAGCATTCAATCTATCTTACTTTTTCTCTTCTTTCTTTAAGGCTACTATGCCAAAAATTATTTTTAAAGTTTTTTCAAGAATTTCTCTTGTGCTGATTTGTCCCATAAAATTGCTGCCCTCAAAAGCCACATGACCACTTCATTCCTTACAGTACTTCTGGAGATAAGCTTCTGCCATTATGTCTCTAAGAATTTAGAAATATAATTATGATCACATAATGGAATGGTTCTAGATAGGTTAAAAGAAGGAAAAAAGCACTAAGTCCTGGAAAAAAAAAAATATGTACAAGGCTTCTCCTTGACCTGTCTACTCTACACAGACTCCTGGCAACAGTTTATTATATGCATAATTACCAAACATTTTCAACATCATTAAATGACACAAGAGCTAATCTACAGCCTGGATCAATTTATTGCTTGCCCTGAAGCATTGGTTCACTTTGGGCAACCTTTTCTTTTACCTTTCTGTAAATCAGACTCTCAATCTGTGACAGAGGAGCTACAGACACCTATCTTTCCAAGCTCTACAAGCCCTGAAAATCCAGATATATTTCACTTAAACACTGATTAAATACTGCCAATCCAAACATTTCAGCCCTGAGAGCAACTGCAATCTGAGAGGAGCAGGTCCTAAGCTTTCCTCAGCTTCTACATTCAACTCCTCCAAAACCTGTCCCTTAAAAACAGGTCTGAGGTCTTACATTTTAGCAGGTAAGTTTTAACTTTTGTTTCCCTTCATTCAAAGAGAAGCAGAGCCTGTCCTGTGTGCAGATTGTCAGGCCTCTGCTTTCTCCATGCCATGACTTTACATTTTCAAGGCATCTGTCTTTATGTAGCAGACCAGGTAGGAAGAAAGTAAAATGCGGCTGGCAGTGATTTTTTTAAGATGAGCAGTTCAAGTGTGTTAGAGGACACACATACATGAACAGCCACATGCACTCTGTGCTCTGAAAAGGGCTTTACTCTTAGGTTTTCTTTTTCTAAATCTAAAATTTAAATTGTCCACACTAAAAGTATATATTTTTCCCCTGCGTTCAGCAAGCATTTCATTCCAAAAACCAATAGTGAGAACTCCAGGCATTAGGACAGAGCCTACTCTCAGCTGCATCAATGTGAATCAATAGCAATTCTGTTGAAGAAACTCAATTCCTACTGATGGAAGTGAAGCAGAGTTTAACCCAGTATCTTCTTGTTGCTTTGCACATTTTTCTGAAGCAAAATGTAAAATTAAAGGAAGCATTTATAAAACATACCTGAAATCTGACTACAATCCCAGGCTGTGTTTTCTCGCACTCATTTTATTACATAATATTTAAATAGTGACTGCTGCACGTCCTACCTCCTCCTCCCACCCAGGCTGGTTCCAG